TTTCCTCAAATCTTTTTTCAAGGTTCTTAGTTTCTTTGCATTGAGTCAGAATATGTTCTTTTAGCTCATGGAAGTTTCTCATTACCCATCTTCTGAATTCTGATTCTGTCATTTCATCACACTCATTCTCCGTCCTGCTTTGTTCCCTTGCTGCTGAGGAGTTGTGGTCCCTTGCAGGAGGGGAGGTATTCTCATTTCGGGTGTCTTCCTCCTTTTGTGCTGGTTTCTTCCCATCTTTGTGGATTTATCCACCTGTCGTCTGAGTAGTTGCTGATTTTTCGATTGTGTCTCTGAGTGGATGTTCAGATTGTTGATGATGAAGTATTTCTGTTTCTTAGCTTTCCTTCTAACAGTATGGCCCCTGTGCTGTAGGACTGCTGAGGTCCACTCCAGGCCCTGCTTGCCTGTGGAACTCCTGTAGCAGCTGTGGAACCGTGAGGGTTGCTACCAGATCCTTCTTTTGCTGTCTTTGTTTCTGAATGATGCCCACCAAATGTCAGTCTGATCAGTCCTTTGTGAGGTGACTCTTTGGATATACGGGGGTCAGGGAGCTGCTTGAGGAGACAGTCTGTTCTTTATAGGAGTTCAAGTGCTGAGCTGTGAGGTCCGTTGTTCATTCAGGGCTGCTAGGTAGGTACGTTTAAGTCTGCTGCAGTAGAACTCATAAAGCCTCCTTTTTTTTCCCCTCAGGTGCTCTGTCCTGGGGAGTTAGGGCTTTATTAATGAGTATCCGTTGTACTGTCCTATCCAGCGTGGAGGCAGTCTAGTCCCTGCCTGCCTGTAGTGGTTATGCTGAGCTGCCATGGGCTCTGCCCTGTTGCCATGGGCTCTGCCCTGTTGTCATGGACTCCGCCCTGCTGCCCTGTGTAATTCCCTGTAGTCCTGTTTATATGGGTGTGGTTAGAACTGCTGTGGTGATGGTGGCTTGCCTCTGTTGTGACGGACTCTCTCTGTTATGGTGGGTTGCCTCGGCAATGGCAGGCTGCGTCGGCAATGGCAGGCTGCGTCAGCAATGGCAGAGTACCTCCATAGGGGTCGAGTGCCTCGGTAATGGTGGACGCCCCTCCCCCAACGAACTGTACTGTCCTGGGTTCAGCTGTGCTTGCTGTGACACTCTTAACCCCGAGCATTTCCAATTGCTGTTTTTGTTTGTTTGTTTTTGTGGGTGTGGGACCCACCAAGCCTGATCACCTGGCTGCCTGCCTCAGAGCCCTTTTTTTTTAAAAAATTGAATGGTTGACTCTCTTCCAGGTGTTCCAGTTGCCTGCTGTAAGGGCCTCGGGATCTGTGTGATTTCCCGTGCAGTGACCCACTGCGCCGGCTCAAACAACGTTATGGCCTGGGAATCTCCTGGCCTGGCTTTCCATTTAAGTCCCGTTTAATCAGATGAATGTGCTAATCTGCCTTCCAAAATCTCCAATTGCTGGTTTAACAGGGCAACCAAACCAGTGTATTTTGTATGGAGTGCCGCTGCGATGCGGCCCCAGCCCAAACAACCGCGCTGGCCCAAACAGCCGCGCTGGCCCGAACTGCTGTGCGGTGGCCTGTGGGGCTCCTACACCTGGGAATCTCCTGGTCTGTGGGCAATAAAGATTCGTCTGGAAATGCGGCATCCACTCACCCTCTGTGATTTTACTGGGAGCTGCAATCCTGAGTTGGTCCTACAGTGCCACCTTCCTCACTCCTCATAAATCATAACATTCTTGATGCTGTTCCATAAATTCTGTAGGATTTATTTATTTTTTGGAATTAAAAAATTTAAATTTTTATTTATTTAGAGGAAATAAGTGCAGATTTCTTACATGTATATACTGTATCATGGTAAAGTCTGGGCTTTTAGTGTACCCATTATCTAAATAGTGAATATTGTATCCAATAGGTAATAGCCTTTAAAATTCCTTTTTATTCTTTATTCTTTTTCCCCCAACTATGTTTTCAAATAATTTTCTTTGAGTTTACAGATTCTTTCTTCTCCTTGATGAATTATACAGTTGACATTTTTTTGATTTATCTTTTGTAATTTAAATTTTATTCATTGTATTCTTTAGCATTGGAGTTTCTGTTTGGTTCTTCTTTATGATTTCAATCACTTTGTTAAACTTCTCATTTTGTTCGTGTATTGTTTTCCTTATTTTTCTTAAGTTGTCTATCAGTGTTTTCTTATAGATTACTGAGCTTTCTTAAGATAATTATTTGAATTTTTTGGCAGATTTTGATAGCATCACTGTTTCCAGACTTTATGGACTGGTTTTGTATGAAATGATCTTCATCTGTGGGTGGTTTTGAGTACACTAGCTGGGTGGATTGTGGCAATTTAGGATCCAGTGAGGATGTGGCAGTTTAGTGTCCATGTAGCTTTTTCAGCTGTGGTTGATATGGGTAAAGATTTCAGTGGTGTACAGTGGCCAAGGCCATAGGTATCTGCAATAGTGGCAAAGCCCAACAGAATTCTTCTGATCTCATTTACTTCTCTAAGGGAAGTTGTGGCAGAGGTGACATCCCTTGGTGCTGGATCTGGCTTGTGGGTATGCTTGTAGTGACAGTGGTACTAATGTCTGATGCATGGTATCTGTGGAGTGGTTAAGCAGCTTGGATCTGGGAGCATGAGCATGTATGAACTGACAGTGGCTCTGGGGTCCAGATGCTGGTGTGTGCCAGTCTATTGCTGCTCTGAGGACTGTGATATGGATATCCCTGCTGCATTGATGGTTCTGGTGTCTAGGATGCAGGCACTTGTTGAGTGGCTGCAGAGCCACATTCTGAAATGTAGTCACAGATGGAGAGCTGGAGTTGCTCTGGGGCCTTGGGTGTGGGTAGCTCTGATGTCTGATGCATGTGCAGTCAGAGTCTCAAAGGGTTACATCAGAGCTAAGGTTGCAGCCCACATGTGTACTGAGAGTCTGCAGCTTCAGGGCCCTGGGCAAGGCTAGCAGGTGAAGCCAGTGGCTCTGGTGACTATATTATACATGTGCATGGTGCAGCCTTAGAGATGTGGGCTGGAGTGTGAACACATGCAGAGCAACAGTGGTTCCAGGATTGGGCTGTGGCTTAGCTTACTGTGGCAGTGGCTCAGATACCTGAAACATAGGACTTATAGAGGAATGGCAGAGCTAGGGTTCATTGCACAGGCCAGTGCAGAGTGAGCATGGCTCTAGGGTCTGGGGAGGGGCTAGCCCCTAGTGAAGGTGGCTCTGGTGTCTGAGGCATGGGTGTGCAGCCATCTAGCCAATGCTGGAGCCTGGGTACATATGGAAAGATTGTGACTCTGTTGTCTGGGTCACACATGGATCTGGAGCATGGTGGCCGTAGTCCTGGTGTGGCACAATAGTGGCTTCTTCTTGGTGGTGGATAGAGCAACATTTCTCTTATCTGGGGTTTCATGGTGGCATTGGTTATTAGTTACCTCAGTGGTGAGAGCTGTCAGTGTTCTCTGTAGAGCAGACTGCTGGGAACCATGGTGGTACCTGTTGCATGGCTGATAGTGATAGTTTCTGCATTCTTCCTCATTCTTTGCTATCTCCAGATGTCTCTGGTATGCTGATCTCCTTAGCTATCCTGTCTGTGTGGTTATTCTACATTTTTTTTTGCTTTACTATCTTGCTGCAGCTTCTTTGAGACTTTGAGCCCTAACAGGGCCATTTTCATCCATGGATAGCTGTCTAGTGGTTGTTTTTTTGTAGGAAAATGAAGATTGATATCTCCTACTTTCTCATCTTGCTAATGTCATTTTGTGTTCTTCCTTTTTTTTCCCCAGGAATGTTTTGTAGTGTATTTTTCTTCTTTCTGGGGGCTGAATTTTCAAATTGTAGCTGGAATAATGTTGGTGTTCCATGTAGTTCTTTACCATATTTAGGACAGAATTTAAAATTATATCATATGCTACAATCAGATTACTCTTAAATTATTGTTTTATTATTAACTGTGACTTTTTATGTAAGCATTTAAAATTACTCTCCCCTACCTACAAAAAATTATAAATTTAATTCTTATGAAACTGGCTTCTCCCAATATCCTATTTGAATCTTTGAGGAATATTGACTCTCTCAAAGTAAAGCCTCTGTTTGACTTGGTTTCTTGGTTATACTTGATATATTTGGTACCCTGGATATATTTTCACATTTCTGCTTTTCTTGACTTTGTTTAAGGTGTTTACTTTTTATTTTTTCTTTTTAATGAAGCTTTATCCATTCTTTAAGGCTTAGCTTCTTTATGTCTTTCTACTTTCTCTTCTCAGCTCCTAAATATTTATTATTCTATGCCACTCTTGACATGTAAAATAGAAAAAATACAGTGAATATTTAGGAACTGTTATATGCTACTATGTTTGTAAACATTTTCTTTGTTTCTTATCTTGTTTTTCTGACAGAAAACTTAATGCAGGGTCTGTCTTCTATCATATGCTTTTTATGTCATAAGATTGAGGAGTCTTGTGGTATTATCCTAATAGTTAATTATTATGGATCCTTATTATGTTGGTTTCCTTTTAAGTAGCATCTTAGGTTCTCTTATGGGTTTTTTGATGCAGTTGTAAAACTTAGTAGGTTAGCTAGATCCTTCCCATAAACCTTATTGACTTAGCAACAGCAACTAAAGCATTTCTCTCTTAGCATCCTAGAGTTCCTCTGATATGCCGTATCATTAGAAGGTCACATGTATTGGACATTAATTCAGTTTTATCTTTTACTATATATATAGTATTGATCAAGTTATGTAACCTCTCTGAGCCTGAACTTTTGTATTTGAAAATTATGACAGTATCTTGTTTTTTAGATTATTTTAAGAATAAGAGAATGCAATATACCATGGTGATTTGCACATAATAGGTATTTAATAAAATGGTAGCTATTCTCCTCATAAGCATTCTGTTAATACTCATATAGCCCTGCTAGTCCCTCTCTATGTTTGTTTAGCTTTTATATCTATAGCAGTTATATTTAGCATAGAGCTATAATTCCAGCCATTTATAAAACCTTTAATATTTTTGATTTTTTAAATAATAGAAACTGATCATTTAATGACTACTCGATTTAATGCCATGTTGAAAGTATTTGAAAACCAGGCAAATATGTTGGAGAGGTAAGCTGTTTTTGTATTTTATTATTTTTATATTTAAAATAATTAACAGATAAAATTGTATTTTTCCATATATAACATGTTTATGAAAGTTAGTACATATTTATTGCAGAAATACTGAAATATAAAATAACAATGTTGTCAACAAATTTAGAATTTCTTGTATCAATTTTTGTGATTTTACATATGCAGAATTTTTACATTGAAAATTGTAAACATAGAGAATGTAAAATGAAACGTAAAATATATGCTACAAAAAACAGTATGTTGGTTCCTAAAAAAATTAAAAACAGAATTACCATATGATCCAGCAATTCCACTCTGGGTATATATACCCCCACATTGAAAGCAGAGTGTTGAAGGGCTATTTGACACCCATTCTTTGCAGCATCATTCACAATGGGCAAAAGATGGAAGCCACCCACTTGTGCAACAATGAATAAATTGATAAACAAAATGTGATATATACATACAATGAAATTATTATTGAGTTTTAACAAGATAGGAAATTCTGATATATGCTACAACATGAATGAATCCTGAGGACATTTTGCTAAGTGTAATAAGCCAGTCACAAAAAGACAAATACAATTATTCCCCTTGCATGAGGTATCTAGAGTAGTGTTAAATTCATAGACATAGAAGATAGAATGATGGTTGGTGGGGGTTTAGGAGGAGGAAATGGGGAGTTATTGTTTGATGCACACAAAGCTTCCATTTTACATGATGAGAAGAGTTCTGGAGATTGGTTGTAAAATAATGTAAATGTACCTAACACTGCTGAACTATACACTTAAAATGGTTAAGATGGTAAATTTTATATTGTATGTATTTTTCCATGGTTAAAAAATTAAAAGTTACAATGATACAAAATGTAGTTTGTGAATATTTTTTCACCTGTAAACTCATATAATTGCTTTTAAAAATAAATGTTTTATTTTTTATTGAGAAAATTTATGATAGAAAACGTGATGTTTTGATATATGCATGCATTGTGGAATGGCGAAATCAAGCTATGTAACAGACCCAATATCCTCACATACATATCTTTCCTTTTTCTGGTGAGAACATTTAAAAATTACTCTCTTAGAAATTTTTCCCCTGTCTAGCTAAAATTTTATACCCTTTGATCAACCACATGGGGTGAAAATCTCCCAACCAACCACAGCCTCTGGTAACCAGCATTCTGTTTTCTATCTCCATGAGTTTGACTTTTTGGGGTTCTACATATAAGTGAGATCATGCAGTAATTGTCTTTCTGTACCTGACTTCTTGTCAGGTACATAATGCCCTTCAAGTTCATCCATGTTGTTGCAGATGACAGTATTTTCTTCTTTTTTAAGGCTGAATGGTATTTTACATTTTACATATATAAATGTGTATATATATAGATATATCTGTATATCTCTATATATATATCTTCCACATGTTCTTTATCTATTTTTACATTTATTTCCTTTAGATGTATACTCAGAAGCGGAATTACTAGGTCATATGGTAGTTCTCTTTTTATTTATTATTTATTTATTTTTATTTTTATTTTTTAAGACGGAGTTTTGCTCTTGTTACCCAGGCTGGAGTGCAATGGCACAATCTGGGCTCACTGCAACCTCCGCCTTCTGGGTTCAGGCAATTCTCCTGCCTCAGCCTCCTGAGTAGCTGGGATTACAGGTACGCACCACCATGCCCAGCTAATTTTTTGTAGTTTTAGTAGAGATGGGGTTTTACCATGTTGAACAAGATGGTCGCGATCTCTTGACATCGTGATCCACCCGTCTCGGCCTCCCAAAGTGCTGGGATTACAGGCGTGAGACACTGTGCCCAGCCCTATTTTTAAATTTTTATTGCTTTTTGGGTTTTGGGGTACATGTGAAGAACATGCAAGATAGTTGCATAGGTACACACGTGGCAGTGTGATTTGCTGCCTTCCTCCCCTTCACCTATGTCTGGCATTTCTCCCCATGCTATCTCTCCCCAACTCCCCAGCCCCCACTGACCCTCCCCTATCGCCCCAACAGACCCCAGTGTGTAGTGCTCCCATCCCTGTGTCCATGTGTTCTCATTGTTCAACACCTGCCTATGAGTAAGAACATGTGGTATGTCATTTTCTGTTCTTGTGTCAGTTTGCTGAGAATGATGTTCTCCAGGTTCATCCATGTTCCTACAAAGGACACGAACTCATCGTTTTTGGTGGCTGCATAATATTCCATGGTGTATATGTGCCACATTTTCCCTGTCCAGTTTATCATCAATGGGCATTTGTGTTGATTCCACATCGTTGCTATTGTAAACAGTGCTGCAATGAACATGCATGTGCATGTGTCCTTATAGTAGAACGATTTATAGTCCTTTGGATATATACCCAGTACTGGGATTGCTGGGTATAAAGGAATTTCTATTTCTAGGTCCCTGAGGAATTGCCACACTGTCTTCCACAATGGTTGAACTAATTTACACTTCTACCAGCAGCGTAAAAGTGTTCCTATTTCACCACATCCTCTCCAGCATCTGTTGTCTCCGGATTTTTTAATGATCGCCATTCTAATTGGTGTGAGATGGTATCTCAGTGTAGTTTTGATTTGCATTTCTCTAATGACCAGTGATGATGAGCATTTTTTCATATATTTGTTGGCCTCATGTATGTTTTCTTTTGTACAGTGTCTGTTCATATCCTTTGCCCATTTTTGAATGGGCTTGTTTGTTTCTTTCTTGTAAATCTGTTTGAGTTCTTTGTAAATTCTGGATATCAGCCCTTTGTCAGATGGGTAAACTGCAAAAATGTTTTCCCATTCTGTTGGTTGCCAATTCACTCTAATGACTGTTTCTTTTGCCGTGCAGAAGCTGTGGAGTTTGATTAGGTCCCATTTGTCTATTTTGGCTTTTGTTGCCAATGCTTTTCATGTTTTGGTTATGAAGTCCTTGCCTACTCCTATGTCCTGAATGGTTTTGCCTAGATTTTGTTCTAGGGTTTTTATGGTGTTAGGTCTTATGTTTAAGTCTTTAATCCATCTGGAGTTAATTTCAGTGTAAGGTGTTAGGAAGGGGACCAGTTTCTGCTTTCTGCACACAGCTAGCCAGTTTTCCCAACACCATTTATTAAACAGGGAATCCTTTCCCCATTGCTTGTTTTTGTCAGGTTTATTAAAGATTGTATGGTTGTAGATATGTTGTGTTGCCTCTGATGCCTCTGTTCTGTTCCATTGGTCTATATCTCTGTTTTGGTACCAGTACCATTCTGTTTTGATTACTGTGGCCTCGTAGTATAGTTTGAAGTCCAGTAGTGTGATGCCTCCTGCTGTGTTCTTTTTGCTTAGAAGTGAGTTGGCTATGCGGGATCTCTTTTGGTTCCATGTGAAGTTCAAGGTGTTTTTTCCAGTTCTGTGAAGAAGGTCATTGGTAGCTTAATGGGGATAGCGTTGAATCTGTAAATTACTTTGGGCAGTATGGCCAGTTTCACGATATTGATTCTTTCTATCCATGAACATGGAATGTTTCTTCGTCTGTTTGTGTCCTCTCTTATTTCATTGAGCAGTGGTTTGCAGTTCTCCTTGAAGAGTTTCTTTACATTTCTTGTTAGTTGTATTCCTAGATATGTTATTCTCTTTGTAGCAGTTGTGAATGGCAGTTTGTTCTTGATTTGACTCCCCTTAAGTCTGTTAATGGTGTATAGGAATGCTTGTAATTTTTGCACATTGATTTTGTATCCTGAGACTTTGCTGAAGTTGCTTATCAGTTTCAGGAGTTTTTGGGCTGAGACGATGGGGTCTTCCAGAAATACTATTATGTTGCCTGCAAATAGAGACAATTTGGCTTCCTCCTTTCCTACTTGAATAACCTTTATTTCTTTTTCGTCCCTAATTGCTCTGGCTAGAACTTCCAGTACTGTATTGAATAAGAGTGGTGAGAGAGGGCAACCTTGTCTAGTGCCAGATTTCAAAGGGAATGCTTCCAGTTTTTCCCCATTCTGTATGATATTGGCTGTTGGTTTGTCATAAATAGCTTTTATTATTTTGAGATACGTTCCATCAATACAGAGTTTATTGAGGGTTTTTAGCATAAAGGGCTGTTGAATTTTGTCAAAGGTTTTTTCTGAGTCAGTTGAGATAATCATGTGGTTTTTGTTTTTGGTTCTATTTATGTGATGAATTAACGTTTATAGACTGCATATGTTGAACCAGCCTTGCATCCCTGCGATGAATCCTACTTGATCATGGTGGATAAGCTTTTTGATGTGCTGTTGCAATTGAGTTGCCAGTATTTTATTGAAGATTTTTGCATCTATGTTGATCATGGATATTGGCCTGAAGTTTTGTGTTCTTGTTGAGTCTTTGCCGGGTTTTGGTATCAGGATGATGTTGGTCTCATAAAATGATTTGGGAAGGATTCATTCCCTCTTTTTGGATTATTAGGAATAGTTTCAGGAGGTATGGTAACAGTTTCTCTTTGTGTGTCTGGTATAAGTTGGCTGTGAAGCTGTTTGGACCCACGCTTTTTTTGTGTGGTAGGCTCTTAATTGCTACCTCAACTTTAGATCTTGTTCTTGGTCTATTCATGGTTTTGACTTCTTCCTGGTTTAGGCTTGGGAGGACACACATGTCCAGGAATTTATCCATTTCTTCCAGGTTTATTAGTTTATGTGCATAGAGTTGTTTGTAATATTCTCTGATGATGGTTTGAATTTCTGTGGAATCTGTGGTGATTTCCCCTTTATCATTTTTTATTACATCTATTTGATTATTCTCTCTCTTTTTTTAAAATTAGTCTGGCTAGTGGCCTGTCTCTAGCTCCTTCAGTTCTGCTCTGGTCTTAGTTATTTCTTGTCTTCTGCTAGGTTTTGAGTTTTTTTGATCTTGCTCCTCTTGCTCTTTAAATTTTGATGATAGGGTGTCAATTTTGGATCTCTCCACTCCTCTCATGTGGGCACTTATTGCTATATGTTTTCCTCTAGAGACTGCTTTAAATGTGTCCCAGAGATTCTGATATGTTTTGTCTTCATTCTTGTT